TAGACGAGCGCCAGGACCCACCGCTCCCGAACCCTAGCGAGGAGGAGGCGGGCGGTGAGGAGAAAGAGGGGGGAGAGGAGAAAACCCTAGAGCGGGCGGAGGAGCTGTTTGACAAGGGGTCCAAAGCCATCGAGGAGGGGGACTTCGTAGTCGCCGTCGACTGCCTCAGCCGCGCCCTCGAGATCAGGTTAGGGTTCCTCCCACCCACCGATCCGACTCCTAGCCCGGCGGAAATTCCCCCATGGATGTATCATGTGCTTAATGTCTATTTAGTTCATTGCTCTTCTGGGCTAGTTACTTCGGCGGTAGGTCTGTCGAGCTTTTGGTTTATGTAGTTTGGTGGGTGGTTTTACCAGGGTTTAAGAGATTCTACAGGAAGGTGGTCACCAGTTGTGGTATTTACATTTATGTGTTCAGCGGGGAGCGCAATGCGATGTGAGAGATGATTATTCGGTCCAATGAGCCTACTCTTATTTGGCAGCAATTATATGGATTTTCCCAGTTTGTTGTGATGTGCCATGTGTGAGTTGTGATGGGAACATCTTCGGGAATAGGTATTATCCATAGGAATGTCTATATGCCTCTCTAGTACCTGCTAGTGCTTCTGACCGGCACTATTAGTCATTGCAAACAAGCAAAATTGCACATAGTTAGCAGCTTGCGAGAACATTCACCTACTGGAAACTGATTAGATGTGTTTAGATTCAGCTTGTACTTGCAGTGTTTTATATGTGGTTTGTCCTGTTGGTTGCTTTGCTTTGGCCTGAGGCCCCTTGACTGTGAGGTTATGTTGGCAATTGGTGCTTGATGTGTATACTAGGATGAGCATTAAATCTAAGTGTAATTAATTGATGCTTAGGTGCTATCTTATTTGAGAAATGTGTACATGCCTCTTCAGTACTGGTTAGTTACAAATATTTACTGTTATATAGTTTATTCATCCTACTTCAGAATTGTACTTCATAGGCTGTGCAAGCGCCAATCAGTTGTGAACTTTTTATAAAAGACAGTCAATAGGGAGCATAATTAGCACTTTGTGTCATTAAAATGGTTGATGGAACCATTGTGGTGGTTAGCTCTGGTTAGTCTGTTTCATCTCAGATCACGTTACCGTTCATGTTCTTATGCTGTACCCTTAATACCTGTACAATGATACACTGAAAAAATGTACGGCTTTGTTGTCTTGTCACCAGGGTTGAACGTTATGGAGAACTTGCTTCAGAGTGTGCTAGCACGTATTATAAATATGGATGTGCCTTGCTATACAAATCACAGGAGGAGACCGATCCTTTGGGTAATGTTCCAAAGAGTGCACCAGATGAAGAACCAGAGAAGAGCACAACCAATAAAGATAGTGGAAACTCAAAGGCATCCAGTAGCAACATCGAAGATGATGATCCATCTTCAGACAAAGGTGGTGTTGAAGAAGGTGTGTTGTTATTCCTTTGCCCAAGTAGATTCAGATGCAGTTATAGACCAGAAGACGGACATTAATCTGGACATATTATTATATTAGTAACATTATGGTCATTATGATTTAAGACTTCTTTATATTCCTCTCGTTGTACCGACTGGAGGCTATCCACAATTAGATGTTAATCAGTAATGTGCTCATGTGCTGCAAAATGCTGGGTCTTATTTGGAGGTATGTAGTGTTCATAGTTATTTCTTGAGTTCTCAACTTCTCATCCACTTCATCAAAGTGATTTTGTTAATTGATTAAACGTCTAAAACAAGTTTATGCTATAGCTAGCAGATGATTTCAGAGGTAGTAAAATGTATGCTTTGATTGCTCATTCAAAAGCTTGTTATGGATCAACAATATGTTGTGTGGTTGTCTGCCTGCCTTCTCCTTTTGTCAGATATTTTCCTTCCAGCTTTAAATATTTTATGCCTGCCATTGTTGTCCATACACATGGATGACAATGCCAGATTAGACAGATATGGGTACATGAAACTTTGAATGTGTTGCAGTTAGCCGTCTAAAATTGTGCACTTTGCAAGGCCTTGGTTTTATGCTTTGTAAACCGCCTTTGGCCCTTCCTCCTTAGTCCTTCCTCTGTTTGGGTTCCATATTTGAAGTGGGTTGACCTCCGTGCTTATCTCATGGTTCTTGCAAGTTCCCCTACTTCTGCAGTTGTGCTATGTAAGTTTTGCAAAATGTGAATAATCGCTGTCTCACATTTCCATGAGAATTCTGGTTATTTGCTCATGACTATATATATTGATAAAAAATGATCACATTATGCTGATTGGTTCTATGTATGAATGTATATCATTACTTTAGCTATATTGCTTCTTGCTCTTCTTCCTACCGTGGTAAACACTGACATAGTCATTAATTAGGTGAAAACTCAAATGAGAAAGATCAGGAGGATGTAGATGGTGAGAGTGACAAGGATGGTGATGAGATGGGGGGAGAAGAAGATGATTCTGACTTGGATCTAGCCTGGAAAATGTTAGATATTGCAAGGGCAATAGTGGAGAA